CTTAATTCCACCACTTCTATGACTTCACCTTCGGACTCGTCACCACCACCTTTGATAATGAGAAAGATTCAAATTGGATGATTAAAAATTTTGTTATATATTATATATTTGAAAGAGAGTTTATATCGATTATGTTATGAAAAAATATATTCTTTGAAACTACTTGACAAAATATTACTTTAAAAAAAGTCTTTTACAGTTGAACTTACCAGGATGTACCTTCATGTCATCCGTGACTTCTACGTAGAAAAGAGTTTGCTTTGCACTAGCAGAAGCACTAGATCTAGAAAACATAAAATTACATTTTTTAACATTTGAATATTCTAGACATAGTTTATTTTATTCAGAACAAGTTATACATATAGAAACATCTCTCATTACTTCTAAACTTAATAAATAGCTTTATCCATTACATAATAACAAAAGTGATGAGTCATGTGACTAGAGCACAGTAAGTGATATTTCAGACTTACAGATAGGTAATAATTTGTTTAAATGATGAAGTGGGTGCTTCGTAACCACATTCTTCCTTCAACTCTTCCCTTGCGATCTCAACGAGAGACTTATCCTTATCCACAATACCAGCGCAGAGTTCCAAAGTTATCCCTAGCGTCGCAGGATAACGCTTGACGTCGATCGTCTCTTGCTTCTCCAGTAGAGATGCGTAATACACTGCTGGCCGGAATTGTCTAACAAATACGAGCTTCCTTCGACTTGTATTGAAGACAATTATACACACGCTGTCGTGCATCGTTATCACGTCCCAATTCTTCGACTGACCATCATGCACGTAGTGCAAGCGAATGGTTCTTAACCACGGTGAGTCCTGCGGAACTTTTCCCACGCGGACTTCCTGCAGATCAAGCATCTTCTTACGCACAACCTGGTTCCTCTCATCCTGTGTTGTGACATTCATCTCCTGTCAAAATATCGGGAGCACGAAGCACCGAGTAGATCTTTCCCTTAACTTTAACTCTCGTTGATAAGATAAGAAACTTTACACACGTGTAAAGTAATCCACAGATGTCGCTCACAGTATCAAATCAAACGCAAGTATCTACATTCTACCCAACATACTTCGCCGTACAAGTAAAACGAATTCCGAGTATTTCGATAACATCGATAAAGGCTTATGCCTTTAATCCGATGCGATCTGACTTTATTAATGCAAATTTGACTAATATCCCACCAACCTATTTCTACCAATATAGAAACATTATTATTTACAAGCTTAATTAACATTTAATCTTGGCTTAATTTAGTTAGATACTTTTTATCTTTTTTTAGTTATCCAATTTCAAGAATTAGAAAAGAATAACAAGTAAATTGAATCGAGATTAAAATTAATCTACATTAATAGAAACGTGCATAACCTGCATAAAACTTGTTTTCCTATTACACGTTTTTCAATTGACTCGATATATAGATTCCGTAAATAATATTCAATAGACTGGATTGAAATACACGATGCATTGACCGAGATAACACGCATCTATATAATTGCATAGACACTGTCTGAAATTATCTCGAATGCGATGTTAAACATCGTTTATCGCGACGAGTTGGAAAGGATTAGAAGTAAATATTACTCAGATAATAATTTCTCTTTCCATCTCTTTGAATAATATCAGTCATTTTAGCCAGGGATATTAAATTTACGAAGGATATAATCGCGTTTCATCTTTTCTCTTCTTCACAAATTATTCTCGCAATTAGCCGATTGAACTTACGAAAAGTATGGGTTACACGTAATCGAATTTAACATAACATAACCGGTCGCCAGAACGTGCACTGCACTTAAATTTTCGGTGAGATACAAACCTCCGATAAAGCTGCTTCTCTTTCATGCTGGGGGTTTAATGAGCGAAGGGAGAAGAAAAGGGAAGATGGTTTCGTTACTTCTTTCCCTTCCTTTCCTTCTTGGCACTCTTCTCTTTGGCCTTTGGTGTCGTGTCGACTCTTCTTTCGACCGTCAGCTTGAACGCATCGAGAATCTCCTGCTGCTTGACCTGGGTGTCCACGTGAATCACGTCGGGCTTCTTGCGGTACCTGTTGACCGCTGCCGGCGGCGAGAATTCGATTTCCATGTCCGACGCCGTGGAGCTCGACGCGACGGAGGCATCATCCTTGTTGCGCACTATCTTGAACTGCAGCGGCTTCATCGGCTCGTCCACCTGCGATACGTTCGTCTCCTGCCTGATCGGGTACATCGTCACGTAGTATGTGCCATCCTTACGGTGAATGTGCAGGGTCGGTGGCGGTTCCGCGTTCTCTTCAGTCTCCTTCTTCACTTGCGATACGTAGCTTATGGTTTTGTACATCTTGTCGCGTCGCAAGGTGCGTGAAGGTGTCGACTTTGCCCGATAATCCTCCATAGTAGCTCCCTTTGCTTCCTTCAACAATATATTCAAGTAACGCCCGATCGCGCCTGGCTTCCAGCCGATTCGCGGCTTGAATTTGTCTGCCGATGCTCTCGTATTCCACAGCCAGCCCATGTTAGCTGGTACCCTAAATCGTGGATCGATGCAATTCTTATGACCGTAATTAGTCCCAGGATAGACGTCGCCAATAGAATAAATGTATCGCATCACTCGTCTGCTGACCTTGATAGAATTCCTACCACGATCACCGCTCGGACCTGGCCTACTTTTCGGATGTCCCTTTTCGATTAATTTGCCAACAGCTTTGGTTGTTGCGATGCTAAGCGTAGTAGGCGGTAATGTTTGTATTGGCTTTGTCTCTGAGTCCTCATTGTCGTGCGACATTGTTCGACTATTCTTTTTCTTCCGGCGAGATTTGCATTTCGGTTCACCGCAAGGACCAACGTCGACCACGTCTAGCGGTGCGGAGGTTGTAACGTCCAGTTCCTTCTGCTTTTCCAATTTCTCTTCCTTCTTGTCCTCCTTCTTTTTTGATGGCTTGACGGCGGTCAGGAATGACGCCGTTTCCGGTAACGACGGTATCGCCTCGCGTACAACACCAGAGCGTCCTGGAACTGTCACGGAAGTAGATGCAACGTAAGGTGCGGAGAGAGTACTAGCAAGGGGTTTACCAATCTGTGTATTGCAAGGTGCGGGACACTGAACTGTTGGTCCTGGCAATGCTGAAATGGGATATCCTCGTTTTCTCTCGCTTGGTATTTTTTGAACGGTGTAATCGCACTGTATGTCTCGGCCGAAGTAAGGACTTTCAGATGGATCCATCAAGCCAAGACCCTGCATACCTGGCACCTTACCGAGAGAATCCACGAATTCTTGGACCTCTTTGAAGGCGCGAATCATACACTCTGCACCCACACACGGTTTTTTCGAACATCTAGACGCATTTGTTTTCCAAGGCGACGAAACATTCCCTGGACAAACGCAGTTTGTTCGTTTAATTTCGTCCGCTGTTCTTGATCCGAGTGCCAAGTTAGCGCCCGTTCTCTTGTCCTTTTCATATATGACGGTCGTTGCTTCGGCAAGCGCACGGGCTGATGCACCATAATCACTTCCACCAACCATACGATTTTTTAAATTAATATCATTCTCATGCCATGTGTATCCTTCGTCCCATGAAGCTTTGTTATTTAAATAATTATCTTCTGCGTCTTCACCATCTTTTAGTCTCGCAGAGTCATGACAGGTCACGTTTTGCTGCATATCTGATTTTAAATAAAAATTATCGGAAGCAAGCGTAGCGAGCGATGAAGACTTTTTAAGAGAATCGGGATTTCTTAAAGACATGCAACAAGAAAGGACACATCCGGAACGACACATCGTTGGATGCGTCGATTGATCTGTCGGTAGACACGAATAAGTCGGCTCGTCATGATAGATCTCACAAATTAAACCACGGTACTCGTGATCGTTTAATTTCTTGGCGCTCGTTAATTCTTCGAATCCTGGCTCATTCATTGATATGCGAGGTGGCGATTCCGGTCTCGTCAATACAGGTTCTGTCTCCGTACGATCATCATGGTTGTATAATTTTGAATATGTAGAATCGAGAATTTTGTGCAATGATGATGTATCGTTGTCACATTTTTTCATGTATCTCTCGTTGTTTTCACTTTCATTGGACAGTTTCGTGCAAGAAAGCTCCCAACCGAAAGGAAATCCTCGAAGTATGAATGACTTTTCGCGAAACACAAGATGATTTATAATGGAACTTCCAAAACACGACAGCCTCATGCACATGGATATAGAACCGCACGGATTCCCATATTCATCGGTCAAAGTGTAAATTTTTGTCGACACGTACGATTTTGATAGTCCATCTATCTTGTTCTTGGCCGCAGTTATGTGATCGCAAAAATTTCTTGGCAAAAATGCCGTTGCTGCGCAAAAGAGAACGAATCTAGCATTATCTCGCAAATTATGATCCTCCTCGAGAGAAATCTTATACACTTCGATGCTTAGAGGAGTCGATTTTATAGATTGTATTAAATTGCTCGGTGTCCGGACGAGCAGACATGTCTTGCCTTCGTAATTGATGTACTCATTAGAAAATCCATTTTCCTTACTCCTAGTTCTTTCGTCATTAACCTTGATTGATTCCTTAGCGATGATGTCGACAGGTTTAAGATCGACGAAACCTATACGTATCATCAAATTGCACCCTTCATTACTAACAGTCTGTTCGGGACATAGATTTAGACGACCAATAAGAATTTCAAGCATGTACAATTGTTCTCCTTCTAATATTGACATATTTTTCTTCAAGGCCATTTCGGGTGGATCGAACGCCGAAATGAAAATACGTGCAAGTTGTTAGCCACACGACAAATTTAGAAAGTGACTTCGGATTGACGTTAACGATGTGTCTGTACGGATTGCGCCATTAATTTTGAGAGCGTTTCGGATCTAAAATCGAACAATCTCTCCGCACGCGCATCAACAGGTCAATTGACATTTCTAGTTGTCAGATAGTTGTCATAACGACGAATCGAAAATAATTATTTAACGAATGTAGGAAGTCGCACTTCAGAGCTCTTGGAAAACATCTACAGAAATCACTTTTTATTTTTCTTTTTTTTTATCTTTCTTTGCTTTCTTATCTTTCGGTGCTTTTTTAGCTTTCGGTGGTTTTTTAACTTCTGGAGTAACCTCCTGCAATATCACATCCTTGGAGATTTCGAGAAACTCGGGCGGTACAAATCGCGTCACGCGGATCTCCCGTTCTTTATCCTGCTCGCCGGAAACGAAAGATTTAGGCCGCAACTCGTAGAGTGTCTTGAAGATACGTCCAAGGCATGCGACGGTGAGTTCCATATGCAGGGTGCCAGACGGCTCTTCGCCTGGATCTACGAGGTTGACGCCACCCTTCATTATAAACGGTTTAGGCTGATTTTTTGGATCATTACCGAGCATGGAGATCTGATCGCAGAAACAGCCTGGCAGAGACATTTCGGCCTCCGCCATGGGATAAGTCTCGTTCGCGCGAAACACACCGAGCTTAAGCCTCGACGAGCGTAATCCTTGGACCAAATCTCGCGGTTGCTTGACAAATAGGCAGCATTTACCAACCATAAAACGCACATCTTGATTATGCTTTGATGCGCCCCAGTCGTCTCGCGTGAACTCAAACACGGGAAAGTCTAAAAGTCTGATCTTGATCACGATAGGATGTTCGCCGATGTCTTTGATTTTATCGGGCGTCAGTGTCAATTTATCGATCAATATCTCGATTAGGTAGATCTGCTCATCATAACCGCCGAAACAGGACATGATGTAACTCGCGGCTTTTGCTCGTGGAGAATTGAATCGTATCTGTATGACTAAGATAAATTTCGAGTTGTTGAGATTTTCGTCGAAATAGCTGAAATAATTTTGTAGCGAAAGTTTTGAATGTCCGGACAATATTGTATACAATAGTAGAATTTTTTGCCGAAAATATTTGGAGGTTTAAAAGTATCGTGGATGGTTGACAGATGGAAAATAACAGCAGAATCGCGGTTTATTTCAACGTGGTAATCAGTATAATAATTCGAACCGTATACAAGTTTATTCGTGTTGCCTCGTCACACCAACGCAGAGTCTCATTCGCTGATCGTTTCCCTGAATTTTAAGTATCGAACAAATTGAAATTTTATTGAAAGAAACGTGAGAGATAATAATCAAAGAAGATTAATTTAATCGACGTCGCGTACAAAATGTTTTCTTAATGCGAAGATTGGATTTTAAATACCACCTTGGTCAGCTTAATTCTTCCGCGTGTGCACGCATACGCCGTCATCGATGTGCGAACGAGGAAAAAGACCTATCAACTTACGGTCACGTACATCCCATCCACTATCCGCGCGACTCTTCGGTGTTTCTAATTCCACTGGCAGTTATTACCTAGGTGGTATATACTTAAAGTCGACGGTGCGAAAGATGCTGCTAGAAACCGTTACGAAAACCTACGAGAAAAACACCCTCGCAAATTCATGCTTTCCATATTCCTCATTAGGAAGAATAATTTCACAAACGCCTACGTGTGCTTAGAGAACGCGCGTTTCACGTACTGCTAGTTCCGCAACAATTACTCTCTCATTGATTTGAGAATAAAAAAAAAACAGAATAAGAAAGATGCGCTTGTCGTAACTAAGTTTTTGTCAAAGTATAAAATGTCCGTTAAAAAAATGTTTGTTATTAACTCATTACACAACCAGCTTGGTAACGCCTGTATTGTAACGCCGTCAGAAGCGAGGGAAATATATGAAGAAAATTATTATAAACTGTATTAAAATATGAGTATTTTTTAATAAAACAACATTTGAAATCGATGAAATAAATTTGGAAGTACAATATATTGAAAACTAATTAATATTTGATAAATAACAGTATATTTGAAATTATTAATTATGTCTAACTATATATAGAAAACGAAACAAAAGCTATATTACAGTCGTCGAATTGAGGTAAATATAATTTTGTTTCTTCTATTCTAAAATAAAAGGAGAATCTTTAATTTATAAGTGTACTTTATCAAATGCAAATATTGTTTTATTGAAGAATGTTTTTATTTCAATTTATTTCATAAGAATGTTTATGTTTTGTCGCTTCTAGCATCATTAATCTGAAGATCCGTCATAAGTAGTATAGTCAAAAACTTTAAATCCACGATATAAACATAAAAAGATAATATGTATCTTACGAATGATGATAATAAAAACATATGCGCGATAATTTCATTCGTTTTCTTAATTAGCTCAATGAAACATAGCTATCTTAAGCCATTTCCTTCATTTGAGAATCAATCGTAGGAGTGACGAGTAATCTCACCAAGATTCGAGATTACTCGACCGTTCGGGATGGGGATCTCATTCCATAGATTTCGGCGGCAAGAGAGCAGCATCTCGAAGGGCCCCTAAGACACCGAGAGCCAAAGTATGCACTAATTGGCGCGCGCACACACACACACGCACACACACACACACACGCACATGGTTCAAAGCGAGATAGGCGGACGACAGAGCGAATGGACCACAGGATGAACCACGGAACAGGACGAGAGATATATTCTGAACACCCATGGCATGAACGGTCGTCGAGAGCGCGGTGGAAGCCCATCGGGCCAAAGCGAAATTCCGAGCCCGAGCGACGGCTCGTTAAAATGCTTCTGGGAGTTTTGGGCGCGGGACACTTCTGGATAATTGGTGATTAGCGATTAAAACAAACGGATGTATTTCCGCTGGTCAGACCTGCTCTCCCATCTCGTTGCCCTGCCTTTTCTTTTTTCGCGAGTTGCCGACCGCTCTGAACGAGCAGTTTATAATGTCCACGCATTAGAGAAGTCCATTCGACGCTCATTCGTTTCGTCTTACGTACTTTACTCTTCAGGATGATGGTGATGATTCTCTCGCTTTCTGCAGTCGCCTTTTTCTCCTCGCGAAAGAAACGTCTTTTATTCGTGCAACCCGAATATCAGGATCGCTTTCCTTGTCGACTCGTTCGTACAGTTGTTTCTTTACGAAGGCGCGCCTGAGAATCTAAGTTGTCTGAGAGTCCTTGGTAATAATCGTAGTGATATTCAAATGAATAGAAATAACGATCGAGTAAGTGAACGTAATTCGAGTAATTTATCGTAAGTTGTGATACCGGAAGGATTCGTATCGCTAGATGATCTTAAAGATTAACTGCTGTTTCGATTCGCACATTGTCCTTATAGTTTAAGCTTTTATTCTCAGCAACAAATTACGCTATGTTTCCTGCTATGGCAAATGTCAATTAGCATATACACTAATGTTTCTCGAAATAAGACGCTGTGCAAACAACAAATTTTCAAAGAATTTAACAACGCAGTAATTATGGACATTTAGGACTGATTTCATAGCACTCCGCTGCGCCGTCGTAATTTCTAGTGTTATTATTTACGCTAGAACTCGCAAGTGCAAGCTCGAACAATGGCAACAATACTGAAAGAATAGTCCGTAATCAAATTAAGTGTCGCGCGTCCCCTTAAGGATTAATCACTGTAATCAGCGATCTTTCCACGATAGCGCGCCGCAGCGAGATAGTCCCTTATTTCCGGTTCCATCGATGACCATTATTCCAGGACCTGCGTACATTCAGGGAGAATGCATGCCTAAGAGAGAAATGAAATGTATTTTACATGCGACAGGATGAAACCGTCATGTAGATCTCTCTTTTCCTCTCGCATTTATACGACCCAAATACACTGCGACGTTAAACCTATTTTCTCTCTCGCTGCTAAGTGGTCGCACCGCTTAATTATAAACATCGTGGAGAAATCTTCGTCGCACGAAGACGATCCCACGATGTTCTACGCTAGTTATTCGACTTCTCGTGCATAGGTAGCACTTCTCTTCGTTTCTACGTACTTGTTACAATACACGGAGAGTAGAGTGCTCTGCGCCGGAGTCTCAGAGTTCATCGGCAATTTGAATAATTTTCTCCCGAGAACGATTTCTCGTTTCATCTAACACTATATCGCTTTTTATCACACGGCAGTCTTGCTTGTCGTGTCTGAACGCGATTGACTCAATCTGTTGAACGATATTTGCATACATTGTACTATATACATACAGTGCGAGCAAAAAGTATTCGTACCAGGTAATTTTTTATAAAAAAGTCTTATTTGTAAAAAATAAATATTAATTAGCAATTTTATAATTTTATAATTTTAACAATGAACATATTCTGTTTCTAACATAAACAAACGAGCTTCGCATGTATTCTGATTCTAGAAGCTAAATTTCTCGACTGTACGAATACTTTTTGAGCTACTATTATTTTCCAAACAATTGAACTTTTAATTTTCGCTTATTTTTCAGATAATATATTTTCTATAATTAATACACATCTGTTTGATATATATAATTTTAAGAAACATACATTATACATACATCTATTTTATTCTTTTCTGAATAAATTGTTAATTACCTAGCAAGAAACGTCAACAATCGAATCGACGTCAAATTGGTGTCAAACTAAAATCATCGTATCGACATCGATTGGATGACTCATTTCTCGCCGAATAATATTTACTTTTTAAAAGAAAGATTATTTAAAAAAAATATTTTCTCTGTATCGAATACTTTTTGCACTCACTGTAAGTCAAAGCCAGTTTTTCTTCTTGGACTTGGAATTAGAACGACTGCTGCATTTTCGAGATACAGGAGAATATTCAATTGTGATTAATTAATTCTTACTACAATCACTTACAACTATGACGCTTACACAATTGTAGAACTGGACTTTACTTCTTATACCAAGCTACTCTATATATAGTATGTTATAGACGACGCATTATGAATCGAACAGAACGAGTCGTTGTATTGGACGATGATATTAATAATTTAATATTCACAAAACGAAAAGTGAAACATGCAACAGCATTCGCGGTAATTATTTGATACGCGTTCGTTATAGAATGCGTGAAATAAATAGCGACGTCACTGTTACGCGGAACTCGGTGACGCAGCGCGGCGTAGTAAACATTCGCGCGACCTTGTTATCTGGTTATCATTCGCACGGCGAAGTTCGAGTAGAACGCAACGGCAACGGCTTGGGTCGCGTGTTGTGTATCGTCGAGTTGTCGTATCATTTCCTTCGAGTTGCGAGAGGTACTTATACTGAGAAAAATTGCAGATGATTCTTTAATCTCTACGATTGAGTTACCCTACGATATACGATTTGCAAGTTTAATTCGCATTTAAGCGACGAGCCTTCGTCGAGATGAATTGTTAATTCCGCATGATTTATTCACTTGAAATGGGAAAATAAGATTACACCAATTGTTTTGTATTATTTATCTTTTTAATGTGCTCCTTGTGTTCGAGTATCTTTTATATCGCGCTTTAATTGTTTTTTTAGTTCGTAATAATTAAATTCACATATTAAATTAATATATTGAAAATTAATATTTTCGATTAGTTCGTTGAGTTCTTGGATGTATTTCGAAATAACAGTAATCCTGATGTAATGATTTTCATTATAATCTATAATAGCATTACATGCCGTGAGCTCTACAGACTTTCGTATTATCAATATATTTTTGGAATGCATTTTTAGTTGAATAATAACTCGATCATACCGCACGGCATCAGAACGAAGTTGGCGACAATGTTGAGTATTTTTCGTTATTCATACAAGATCGCACGAGAGAGATTCCGAAATTCTAAATTCAATACTATAACGTATTTAATTAGTTAATACTGTCATAATTAACCTCGTGTTTCCGTACCCGTTGGTATAAATTCGGCGTTAACATTTGAGCAATG